ATGTATATACATCTATATATGGTAAAGAAAAGATTATAAGAATTTATGTACCTAGCAAGCCCTTGTGTAGTGGTGAGCTTTAAAGACAGTGCTTACTTACCTTGGCCTGGCAGAGAGGAGGGCTGGCCGCGAGTCTCGGGAGAACATGCGCAGAGCTGCGGTGAGGCGCCTGAGTATTTGTCCTAACGTGAAGAGGGGGGTTCACACTGAAGAGCAGTTTTCCATGACCTTGGAAAAGGACAACAGAGGGCTCTCAATGTGTCAATAGCCTCCTCATTTTTCACCCTTCATTGCAAAGCAGCTCAGTCATGTCGTGAGAGCAGGGGCTGACCTGTTCTTGGGTAGGAAGTGACACCCTCTGGTTTTAAGGCTTTGCCACCTGTGTGGCTTATAAAGGTAGTATGGAAGTAAGTGGCAGATTTCCCCCTCCATGCGTGTTTTCATAGAATGCAGATTAAGGAGACCCAAGGCAGATCCTTCCCACTGTCCTGCTGGCACACTCTTACCAGGGCAGCAGGGGGACAATAGGACACTTGGACCTGGGATAGAAGAATCACATTTTAACTTCGTGATGTCACTCAGATCCACCTCAGATCCAGGCTTCCATTTTTTCATCTGTAATGGTCACCTATGATGCTTGATGACTCAGATATATTGGCTCTATATACTAGTGTAGAAATTCAGACAGGGTGTGAATTTTACCCTCTGTTACCTTTACTATCTACCCCAAATAAATAACATGACCTTAGTGGCAGTGGTTACCCTGGGATCTTGAAGCAGGTGAGTGTGCAAACCAACCTTCCCACAGGCCATGCATTTCCAGTCTGGCCCTCTTTCTCCTTCATCGCTTCTCCCAGTGGCTCCCCAGTGTAGACTTATACACAAATACTGGCTCTAAGGATACTGGGAACAACACCAATGGCAAAACAGAGGCATCTCTTCACTAGTGGCAACTGCTATTTGCAGGGGCCCCTGTCTGAAACGTGAGGCCCAGTGATGTAATGATGTTTAGGAAGAGCTTTGAACACTCCTCTTTAAAGAGTTTTACAAGGTTTTACAGGTTTGGGATGGTGTTTGAATTACGTTTTAGGTTTGATGTCAGCATTGCTTAATGCTTATTATTTTTTTTAATGTGTCAAAAATGTACCAGCTATTGTACAGAGTTCCTATTCCCCAGACTAATTTATTTACCCATCCATCCATACATCTACACTTAAAAAAAATTAAGCTCTTACAACATGGAAATTCATGGATGTGAGAGAAAAATAAATCATGTCCTTTACAATCCAAAGCTTACTTTACAGTTGGAGAGAACAGGCTAAGAAACAGCTAATAATTCAGTAAAGTATGACTAAAGGTCCCAAAGAGTGATATGAAAAATAAATGCTGTTGGATCAGGAGTAAAATAGGAAATTACATAAGGGGGTGTCAAAATAGTGTGGAAGGGGAGGAAGAATCTTAGAGGCGAGAAGCTCTGCTGAGGTCTTGTGTATTACATGTGACAACAGAAGGAATGCTGTGAGGGGGTTAATAAAACGTCCTTGGGCTTTATTTGAGATTTGTTGAAGCAGTAACTTCTACCATTTAAAAGGCCCCAGTGAAGCTTTGAAGTTAACACCTCATTGCCAAGAAGTACGATGGCTTTTCATTCTGTACATTTATGCCCTGGCATTAAAAAGTAGGACCGAGGACTCTCCATATGTCAACATACATCCCACCTGGATTCAAGGCTCCCCCCTTTTCTCTGCTCAGACCTGCCTCCTCAGCTGGGATGTGCAGATTCCGCTGCAGAGTGGCAACACACAGTGTTTCCTAGCTGGCAGCCCCAAATGACAAGTACCTGGTGTGTTATTCTTTTCAAACGCTTATTTCCTTTCATTCTAGAAATCTACTTACCCATTTTCAACCAACCATTTTTTATCGAGGGCCTACTAAATGAGAAAGTGTATGGGAAAGGCCTAGTAACATCCCTGAAGGGAGATAAAGCACCGAAGGGAGACAAACCCCAACTAGACAGATCTCTGCCCTCAAGAGCTCACTTTTTAGTTACAAGTCAAGTGTGACCCAAGGTGACTTGCTTCAGGAGGCAGTGTGTGAGAGATGCCAAGTGGGGGACTGCAGACATGGGAGTTAGCCACCAGAGGTTCTCTGTTACGCTCCTGTACCTTCGTTTTGCTCCTTTCCAACACACTTTACACTTGCTCTGAAGACCTAAGAAACCTGGTTGGGTCAAGAGAGGCTATTTCCTTTCTTCCATAGACCTTGCATACAGGGGCAAGATTTTTTTTTACTTTTAACACTGATTTTACTTTTATCTGACCTTCGTGGGCATTTAATTAATATATTTTCCCCAGGTACATAAGGGCAGAAAAACCACTGCTGCTACTGTTTTAATGAGCAGGATTCTTGTAGTTCTCCTTATGATAGCTACATTCATTTGCAAGCTATCTGACGGTGGCCAGGGGTGAGGATAGCAGCTCTGGAATGAAGTGCATCTGTAGGAAAACAGCAGGTCCCAGGGGAGTCAAATCCTTGACCTTGATCTCATTCACACTTTGCCATGAGCAGCTGAACTAATTGCCCACTATTCAGCAGATTAGATCAACAACAAGATCTGAAAGAGTTGTTAATAGCATCCCAAAGACAGTAATTCTCATTGGGGCAACATGTAGGCACAGGAAGAGCCTACTAAATATTTTTAGAAAATTAATTTAGGCAAATTGACTTTTAAGGCACTGAACACATATGTACATCTGTGATTGTGTCAACAACATTCCTTACAAGTAACTAAGATTGCCAAGAGGGTAGAAATCAAAGAGTCCATCTATTCGTGGCTCTGCCTCTCTCAAGCTCTGTGATTTCGTAGGGTAAATGGCTCCCGTTCTTCAGACCTCAACGTCACTGTCAGTGGGTTAGATTAGGGTTATCCAAGCAGTAAAGGAAGGGCTTGGATTTCCTTTGGGCTTACCCCAGCCAGCAGAGGAGGATCAATGGTTGTCTTAGGGAATCTGGGGGTGTAACCTTAAGCTTTACAAATGCAGGATTGGGTTGAAGTCATTTTATATTTGTTTGTCTAAAAATTCATCCAAGTTTTGCATTCTACTCCATATCATATTAATATTTATTGTATGGTGTACTCATCTTCCAAGCTGAATAAAACCAGCCCATTGGGAAGATGCACCATGTTTATCTTGGGCTTCCTGACAGTCTTTGCTTTATTTAATCAGCAGGTTGTAGTCAGGAGTTTTAAACTGACTGTGCGGAGCCCTGAGGCTGCCAGGCCCACCACATCACTAGGGCAGGTGCTGAGCGTTGCTTTTCCGTTTATAAAATTAAGTGGGGGTAATAACACTTCTCAGAATTCTCTGAGCTTTCATCTTGACCTTTTTAACAAGTTGATATTACATTTTCTTTGTTACTTGATATAATATCGAGGTTCGTTTGTAAAATTTATAGTTATAATGTGGCCAGTGGCCACATAGGCATGAATAGTTTAGGATATAATGTCAAAATAACCCAAGAAGGCAGTCTAAAAGTAAACCTGAGTTCATGTACAAAACAAATTGGAAGTATAGATACAATCCTATTCAATGAAAGGAAATTTATCACTTGCCTGTGCAATTATTGTTATACATAAATTGAAGATAAGGGGTTTATGTTCTTTATTTTTAAATTTAAGAATCCTTCCATTTCCCTATCATAGATTACTCATATCTTACTGTAGCAAGTTATTAGTATTTATTCATATAGAACACAATGCAGTATGTTTCAGAAATATTGCTTGTGTAACAAAATGTTTAAGCAAATTCCAGAAAATTATATATATATTTTTATTTATAAAAAATTATAAAATGTAAATATATAATACATAATGTGTATTATAAAAATGGTATGTAATCCATTTAAAGCCCATGTTAACACAGAAGGAGTTAATCCTCAAGATATTAACAATCCTAAATTACTAGAAGTGATTGGTTAAAATTCTGTAAACCTAGCGGAAATCTGTGGCATTGTTTTCTATAAACCACAACCAGAGCTCATTAATTGAAAAATGAATGTAAATTTGCATTAGGTGACATCTATAAACTGAAAAGGTATAGTGATCTTGGTATGTGATGGGTAATAAAAACATCAACAAAACTTATCAGAGAAAAAAGAGAAGGCCGGGGTTGGGGGTGGTGAGAGAAATTCAAAACCATAGTGGAGTTTACTGGTAGGACCCCACATAAAGGGTTTTAATGAGGCTTCTACATCAAAATAAGGGAAACCACATGGAATTTTAATTATGACTATAGTATAGTTTAAGTATAAATACACACCAGAAGCATTTTTTAAGTTGACAAGCGTATCTGTGTGAACTCTGCTTCTGTGGGGCAAATGTTGAGGTTTTAAGTGTGACTTCTTTCCGTTTGAAACTGCTCACATTTTTCTGGTTTCTCCCATGATCTGAGCATTGAATTTAATGTATACAGAAGTGGCCTGACTATAACTATTAGCTCTGCTGACTCAAGTTCACCTAGATGCTCTGCAATGAAAAGCTGCCGGAGGAACATCTGTGGCCTCCATGTAGTGCCTGTATCGTGTAAGGCAATGCATAATAAGCATGGGGCTGTGGGGGGAGACATTAAATCTCATCTGCTCCCATTTACAATTCTGTCATTAGCACCACTTCTACATTTTTTAAATTTGAGCATGACAAGACTTTCGTATTTGGGAGTTGAGGATGGAAGAATTTATAAAACACAGAGAGTAACTCCCCAGACTCTGTTAGTTTTGGTTTGTCATCTTGAAAGTGTTTGCTTCTGGTATTAGAAGCTGCTCACTAGCTTTTGCTCTCTGCTTATGGCCTGTGGATTCTGGGAAAGTACTAATGAGGGGTGGGAACTTCTCTGCCACCCACCCCCCTCCAAGGCTGTTGCTTCTCCTTCTATCTTAGACTTCATGGTGATAGAATGTTAGAGCTGGAAGGGAACTTAGAGCTCATCCCCCTCATTTTGCAGATGATGACACTGCCACTTCTGACTTCTGCCTCTGGCCTTCCACTCTCAGTAAGAAGAGCCAGGCAGGTGAGACTTTCAACAATTGCTGGGCTGGGCGGGGTGGGGCTGACTGACTGGCATTATCCAATTTGTGAGAAAACCTTTGGTTAACTACATATTGCTATTAATAGTCACTTTTTAGTACAAATGCACATCATGGAACTTACGAAGATTACATTCAATGTACATTTAACAAAAGCTAACAGCTCTCAATCAGCACCTTTAAAGAAAAGTGCTAGGATTAGTCCTTTAATAAATATTATAGTATCCAGAACAAGGGCTAAATAAAAATGGGGCTGAAGAAGTACCTACTCACTAAAGCCTTCAAGAGTTACTAAGTGCTTTTCCTGATAGATAAAGCTGTAGGAAAAGTCAAATATATGAAATCCAAAGACTGGAAAGATTCTGGATGCAGTCATGGTCCTAACAGCACCAGTATTATAAAAGGACCTGTCAGCTTTAGAGTATCATCACCCAGTCTTTAAAGATCACACCTGTAAGTTTTTAGGCATTGCAGAAAATTAATTTACTCATAAAGTGGTTTATAACTATAGTTTCATAGGTTAAGCACAAGAAATACCTATTAAGAGGCATAGTGTTAGCTTTAGAGTTGAAGGACCTTACACTGTAGGAAAAAACCATCGTTGCCTCCAGGTCACCGGTTCAAACTGACTTGAAGCTAGTCCTGTGGGGTGTGGTACAGAGCTCGGTGGATGGATGGTGAGGTGGCTCCCTTATAGCTCCCCACGCAGTGAGCCTTTCATGAAAGCTACATGAGCACCTGGTCTTATCAGGTCCTGTGTCTCCCACCATGGCTTGAAATGCAGTGATTCCTGAGTACTAAGGCTTTTTTCTCCCCCCTTTTCAAGACCTATTGACTTAGTTTGATGTTCGGGAGAATTTCTAACGCTTAGACTCTCCCTATATGCCCCCAGATAAGTAAGATAATTCCAGAATTACATTGAAACCTGGTTTGATTTCAATCTAGTTTGATTTTTTTTGAAATCTGTTGCTAAGATGAAGAATAAAACAAGATTTTAAATTATTTTGGGTTGAAAAAAGTGATAGGAACATGTTAGGGTATCTTTTTGAAGTTCCTTTGCTGATGAAGAGGCCTTGCCAAGAGTACCAGTCACAAAACTGATCATGCTGGAATTCCTTTATATTGGGCTGAGAAGAAGGAACCTGTCCAACTTAGTAAAAATGTCACTTTAAAATATCTGGGGTGCAACGAGAAACAAAAAGAGAAAACTGTCAATGGGGATTTAATCTTAAAGTCTGGTGAGTGAATAAGTATGATCAGAGTGTTGGATTGGTTTAGACATACGACCCAGCACACATTTGGATTTTTAAAGCCCTTTGGGATTCTCTGTTGATGAAGACCTTAAGGATAAATGCCATTAGGACTGTAAAGTGAAAAAAAAAAAAAGACTGCGTAGTGATCAGGGCATTTGAAGATCTATTTGTGGCTTGCTGTTCCTTTTGGGGAGGCTAAATATTTATTTTTTCTTGTAAAAATTCTTTCATTATTTTAATTGATATTTACAGATTTTTTCCCCCCATCTTCTGTTACAATTTTTAGGTGCTTCAGAACTGGGCCCTTTTTCAGACCCCAGGCAGTTCCCAAGCATTTCATCCCTCACTGAGAGCCGCTTCTCCAACCCACGAATGCACTATCCAGCCACCTTTACTTACTCCCCGCCAGTCACCTCAGGCATGTCCCTCGGGATGTCCGCCACCACTCACTACCACACCTACCTGCCACCACCCTACCCCGGCTCTTCCCAAAGCCAGAGCGGACCCTTCCAGACCAGCAGCACTCCATATCTCTACTATGGCACTTCGTCAGGATCCTATCAGTTCCCCATGGTGCCGGGGGGAGATCGGTCTCCTTCCAGAATGCTCCCGCCATGCACCACCACCTCGAATGGCAGCACGCTATTAAATCCAAATCTGCCTAACCAGAATGATGGCGTTGACGCTGATGGAAGCCACAGCAGTTCCCCAACTGTTTTGAATTCTAGTGGCAGAATGGATGAATCTGTTTGGCGACCATATTGAAATTCCTCCGCAGTGGCCCAGCGGTATCTGGGAGCCACACCCCAAATGTATCAATATATACATATATAGAGAGAGTGCTTATATATGTATATCAATTAGCTATCTACAAAGTGCCTACTTTTTAGATTTTTTTCATTCACTCACTCAGTTACGATCTTGTGACCGTAAGAGGGTAGATACTGAGAAAAACAAAAGGCCCAAGAGAGACAATCATAATCAGGTTTCAGATCGTTTTCTATTTAAAATGCTCTTTTACAAACAACCAACCAAAGGAAAAAAGCATTTCTGTTGCTGTTGTTGTTTGGTCTGTTGTCATAAATAACCTGTTCACATGCCAGTTCAGAGAGGTGGACTCCAGGCTCAGGAGGAAGAAGAAAGCCGCTTCCTCTCTGTGCTTTGAAACCACACACCCTCGCGGCTGCAGCTGTGTGTGGGCCAGTGCGCTCTGCAGGCCAGCTTACAAAGCCAGTCGAGGTGCACAGAAAGGGAAAAGGGAATGGATGCTTCGGAGTAACTGTTCCAAACGTTGCTTTCAGACTTGCTCCAAGTACTCATTTGAACTGTTTGGTTCAGTTTTGTTTTTTCTTTTCTTTTCTACTTTAAGAAAGTGACTTCAAAGATTCAGATCAGGATAGATTATTTTATTTTACTTTTTTATACTTTTTTTCCCTTTTCCCACTTAACCAAAAAGGAATTTCATCCCAAGCCCTCTCTTCCCTTTCCCCGTTAATGCAAAACTGAACATGGCAATACCTTATTAAAGCCATAATGGTATAGATAGTGTTTGCGTTTGGCTGTGTGTTATTTGTTTTCTTTTTTTTTTTAAGTTATGAATATGTGTAAAATCTGAGGTAACTTGCTAACATGAATGGTCATATAACTTTAAAGATATATTTATAATTATTTAATGACATTTGGACCCTTGAAACATTTCTTAGTGTATTGATATGTTGACTTCGGTCTCTAAAAGTGCTCTTTATTAAATAACAAATTTCTTCAGTGGGCTAGAGCCATATCTGAACTATTGCTAAGCAATTTCAGTTCATCCAGGCACAATGTGATTTTTAAAAATACTTCCATCTCCAAATGTTTTAGATGTAGCTTTTTTTTGTGATGTATGAAGGAAATGTTATGTTTAGTTCTTTGAGATCTTTGATTGCCTCTAACACAGCTTTGCCTTTTAAAGCAATAATTAGGGATTTTAAAAACAACTCTTAACCCTTTATCACTCATGTTGCCCTCTGTCAGCATGAAATGCTGGAGTAATGTGGTTCCCTAATTTCTTTCAAATAATGATGACTTGTCATATTAAAAAGACAAGCACAAGTGAATCGTTGAGCTGCGGAAAAATGTTCTGTGGTTTAGTAGTTAAAGCAAAACTCTAAATCGCCAGGCTTCACAGTGAAGGACATAGTCAGCTTAAAGCCACATGCGTGGCTAAAGAATCAATCATGATTCACATAGTACAGGAAAGGCAAATTGCACCAGGGATTCTTAAGCAACCGCCTTACCAAACAGTAAATCAGGGGAACCCAAATCTGCCTTAACCAAGGCCCCACTGGCATCTCTCCACAGAATTTGCATTTAAAGGAGCAGAATTAAGTCATTGTCTTCTGGGAGCAGGGTCACCTGAAGTAGCAGGCAGATAGATGATCTGGGAGAATATACAGCCTGTGGGGACCCATATACAACCTTTGACATTCATATTTCTCATAATGAAGGTTAGGCAAGGCTATGTAGAGTTTGGTGTCTACTACTGTGTATGGATTTGAGCTAAAGCCCTCCAATAGGATGCACTTTGACCACTCCTGGCGGCCACGTGGCAAATTCTGAAGTGTGAATCCTTAATTCAAACCAGGATCAATGAATGACACCACCAGGCTAATCCCCGCCCTTCTTCCGACAGGACAGGGCCCCTTCATTTGAATTCTGTGTCTTCCTAAACAGAACTCTGTAGAGATGTACCTCCAGGCCCCAGAGGCCTCTTGCTCTCTAGCCATTCTCAAGCCCACCAAGTGCTGTAGGACGGCTTTTGTGGCAGCTGGACCTGTGCTTCTTGCCTTGAGCCTCCTTTGGAAATCATCCTGACTCCTAATAAAAATCCAGAGAAAACAAAACAAAACACTTTGCCTTCTAAAGGTTGTATACCAAGTATGCTTAGATAAATAAGCCACTTTTCTATTACTTAAGATGGAAGTAGTAATTGATACTATTTATTGTTTGCGTGTGGTAGCTTGAAGCATGCCACTGTCCATTTATTTGTAAGTGTGAAATATGTGTGTTTGTTTCAGCAGCACTTAAAAAAGCCAGTGTCTGGTTACACATTTCAATTTTAATTAATTGACATAAAAATGTTACCGCCAGTGCCAGCTGGACCCTATTTAATAAAAAAGGTACTATATTTGTACATTATTTTTTAATGTTAAAAGGGCTTTTTTAAGTTTACAGTACACATACTAAGTGACTTTAAGGATGCTTTTGTGTTGAAATGTTATTATAGTGGCTGCAGGCAGCAACCCAGAAACACTTTAAACGTTTTTTTCCTTGGGAAAAACTCAAGCGTTTCTTCCTTCCCCCCTCACTCCAGCCATTCATTCCAATGGGGTAATTCACGGTTCTTAGATTAAATTCTGCTCTTTTTGGCCTGGGGGTTAAATTTTTCTTTCCTTTTCTTTTCTTTTTTTTTTTTTTAACTGAAACCTTAATTTGCACTGGGTTATGTGTATGATTTGTGATTTCAAGACCAAAGTGAAGCCTTATCACTGCCACGAACCATGTCCCAGCCAACACTCTATCTCTGTCAGGTTGAAACAGCCTGGTTCTTTATGTAGCATACACGTTGCTGGAGTTTACAGTGTGACCAACACAGCCACTTTTTTCTTTTTCGTTTTAATCTCTTTCAGTTGTCTCACAAATTTTAACCTATGTCAGAGATCCAGAATAGGTACCACAGCTCTGGGTTTAGTCTAGTGGAATGACATCCAGCCTGAAACTCAGAGACTCAACAGATTGGCTGTTGTTTGCTCATTAGACTGTCTTACCCCACCAAGGCCTTTTAAAAACTAGCAGAGAAATCCACCCCATTAGGGAACATCCATTGCAAATTCAGAGGGGAGATGTGTGTGCTGGCTTAAACAGTTCCCTTCATGCCTAGGTGAGGGACTGACTCAATCAGAGTCTAGGTTAATACATGGAAACACAAAGCATTAGCAATAAAAGTAATTTTATCTATGCTATTTGAAAGAATAATAATAAATAAAATATGACTCTTCCACCTCTTGAATTTGTTGTTAAAAAGATAATGCATTTAAAAAATATTTTCTATGTGAGAATTTTTTAGATGTTTGTTTACTTCATGTTTACAAATAACTGTTTGCTTTTTAATGCAGTACTTTGAAATATATCAGCCAAAAACCATAATTTACAGTAATTTCTTAGGTATTCTGAGTAAAATTCCATTTTTTTGGATATGCTTTACCATTCTTAGATTTCTGTGGAACAAAAATGTTTGTAGCATTTTGTGTAAATACAAGCTTTTCATTTTTATTTTTTCCAATTGCTGTTGCCCAAGATTTGCTTTTGTGCACATATTGTACAAATTCCGCTTTGTGCCACAGGTCATGATTGTGGATGAGTTTACTCTTAACTTCAAAGGGACTATTTGTATTGTGTGTTGCAACTGTAAATCAAATTATTTGGTATTTTTCTCATGATTGTAATATTAATTTGAAGTTTGAATTTAATTTTCAATAAAATGGCTTTTTTGGTTTTGTTATGTGTGTACATTGGGTCTTTTCTCATCTGCGGTTTCTTCTCTAGTTTGATGCCTACTCCTGCCAACACCTGGGCACTTATAGGTCATAGGACTTGCCAGGGCTGGATGAGAGCAGAGACACTTTATTACTGATGAGTGGGAAAAAAATCTTGGTAAGCGGTATCTTCTTGTTTTGTCCTACTCCTAAAGAGGGGTGAGGGAAGAGCTTAGTATGAACTCACTTCATTATCAACCTGTGTTTGAAGGAAGGAGTGCTCACCCCATCCTTAGATAAAGCCCCTTATTCCAACTATAGGACCAGTCAGGGTATAAAGTCAGCAGCAGCCTGGATGGTTCTGTGGTTCAATCTCTGGGCACATGAATAGGGGCAGGGCAGGTGAACCCCGACTGTGATCCAGAAGGCTCCAGGCAGCCCAGCCACAGGCTAGTCTATTAGTCTGTTTCCCATCCCGTGCCTCTTTTGGATCCTTAAAGAGAAAGTCAACCAAAGCCCAACATGAGTAAAAATGGACCTTGGCTTGGAGAGCTCTAACCTCAGAAAACTTCTATTCGTGAGTATAACCTTAGTTGGAGATTTTTTTTTCTGGGCCATTGTTTATTTTTGGTAAGTCCCTCCCCTGTGATAAGTAAGGTTGAGGGCCTGGTAGAGCTGTTGCTTCCTTTATATCCTGTGCTGTCTGTATGCCTTGGCTTACCACAATTCTCAAAGCAGGACCTGGAAACCAGTGCAGAGAAGCTCGGTCACTGGCCAGGGGCCCACATCACTCCTAAGTTAGAGGTCTTCTTTCAGAAGAGCTGCTCATTCTTACCCCTTTGGCATTGTTTTCTGAGAAACCTTAGAAACAGCTAATTTCTAAGTCTAGGAGAAATCCTCAAAGCACTTGGGTGAACTTAGGCCAGGGAACTTAGTTGCAACTTTTTGAGGACATATATTTATTTAGCCTTTTAAATTAGACGTGTGTAATCTTAAAAGGCATTGCATGGGTGGTAGGCATTGTGGCTTTCTGTTCCTCTCCGGCTTTGTCCTGCAGCATGGTTAGAGCAGGTCACTTTACTCCTCGGGGTCTGTTCCTTGGTTTGTGCAAAGACTTTGGCTAGACCTTGGCCCTGTTGACATTGCCGGCTGGATGATTTTTTGGTGTGTACAAAGAGGCTGTCCTATGCACTGCGGGATATTAGCAGCATCCTTGGCTTCTACCCACTAGATGCAAACAGCGCTCCCCAATCATGACAAGGAGAACATCTACAGACGTTGTCCAATGTCCCCCGGGGAGGGAAAGCAACCTTGATTGATCACCACTGGGCTAGAGGCTCTCTCTTTATTTTAGGTCAGGCTTAATTGACAGAACTGGTGTGCAAATTGCTCATTAAGACAGGAGACCCAGGCAGAACACTGGGGCTTGCAGAGATGGCTGTACATCTACCTTTTCCATCTCTCACCCGATGGCCCCCTGAGGTTTGGATGTGTCGTGAGGGAGGCTTCTGGCTCTCCTGTCTGTACTTCTTCCTGCACCCCCTCCACATCATGGACTGTGTGGCCAGTGAACAGCACTGCTGTGGGGCTTTGTTAGGCTGGGGCCGCTTGGCCATACTCATCATGGCTACTTCAGTTCCTCGCTGGAAATGGCAGGCAGAAGAAGCAGGCAATTTCTCCAGTGTTTTTGATCCCGTGTTTTCCTTGCCCCCCCAAATATTTAATCATCAGACATTTTTTTGAGAGTGGGTGTTTCCTGTTCACTCAGTCCCAGCCGAGACTGGCCCAATAAACACCTCAGCTCTCTGTTGCAGAGTTTATTTGGCTGGGAAATGGGTATTGCCATGTAAACAGGAAGCCCCCTGAAGTTATTATCTACAGATGCAGTTGAAGAGCCACATGTTTATGTTTATGGGATTTGAAAACAGTTTGAATTCAAAGGCAAAGGAGGAGGTCGGGGAGCCCTTTTCCAGTCAGTGAGAGCAGGGCCTACAGACCTTCATGAGCTGATTTTTCACTCCCTCTGGAAATGGGTACTTAACAATAGTGACACGGCCAAGAGCCACAGCAGAAATGGAGTTACTGGCTTGTCTGATTTAAGCAAACAATCCTATGTAGATCATCAGATAAACAGTAGACAATCCAGTCAACTGGTCTCTCTGTCTTAATTATTTGAAAATCATTTTAGAGACTAGTCCTAGAGAGAAGTGGTACGGGGGCATCTAAAAACATAGGAGACTTTATGATATGACTGTCATCTTAGAGTCTTTAAGTTTTTCTGGGGACAACTCAACTGACTACCACACTTAGTGAGTGCCAGCCAGCTCACCTGGGAAATCTCAGGTTCTCATTCATTTGCTTGTAAAGTCAGTTCCTAAGAGTGCCTTCATCTGAGAGCTGCCCGGGAGCTGGTGCAGGGAATGTGCTTGTGGTGAGACAGCTGGCCTGCATGCTAGTCCTTGGCCCAGTAGACACCAGGCTGCCCCGATTCCTTCTCTTCCCACTAGGCTCTTTCTTCACTGCCTCTTTCCTCTGGCCTGGAGAAGGTGCTGATGTCAGGCCAGGTAGGAACCAACGCATGGATAGCTGATGCTCTACATTTGTACTGTGAGCTCTGACCAAAGGCAAGGGTATCTCTCCCCTCCTCTCCACCATTCCTGTGCACCCCAATAACTCTTCTTGTGACTTCCCAGGAGTAGCCATTCAGTCTGGAGGCCTTGGAAGTGAAGTTTAAAAATAAGTTGCGAATCAAAATTTAGCAAAGGATCTGCAGATGCAAAGGATAATAAAACAAGGGGCATGTGTGTGTGCATGCATGCATGCATGCATGCTTGAGAGGAGGGATGGAAGGTGGAGAGAAGGAAAGAGGTGCCTGAGCAGCCATTCAGGGAAAGATGAAGTTCACCACCCCCACCACATGCTCCTCCACACAGCATTTACTTGGCTCAGTGTTTGTTATTCTTGGAAATTCTGCAAAAAAAAGAAAGCCCCACCGTCCTCACACAAGTGATGAAGAAGCAATTACTGTTCTTCAAATAGGTTAGTTATTGGGAACAAGGGACACTGGATGCTCCCAAGATGGCAGGAGCACAATGAAGCTGACATTGAAGAAGGGGTTGTCATGAATTTTCATAAAGTTTGTGTTCAAAAGCTTTTGGTGGCTCAAGTGGCCCTACTGTTCAGACCTCCTCAACCAACTGGAGAGTAGAAGGATCAAGTTTCTGGAAACCCATTTAACTTTTACAAAAAACTTATTTTAATTTCTTTTCTTATTAACTTGTTGCAATGATGTCTGGCTACTTAGTGGGGTTTTCTGAAAAACCTGCTTTGTGTTTTAGCATTGCAAATACAGCTCTTTCTTGGTTGCTATCTTTTTGTCCCAGGTTATTCTGTCCCATTCCATAGCCAGTAGGGAAGAATTTCTCCCCACCTGTTTTTCTTATAAGGAAATTAAAACCATTTAACAAAATTCTTAAAAAAAAAAAAAAAAGAGGTAGAGGGCAAGCAAAAGTTCTTCTATACAAGCCCCTCAAGAAGCATCTTGTCTCCACAACATTAAATGAGACGAGAACAAGAAATTACACCCAAGTCTCATGAGGCCTGTACTCCTTAGGTCTTTGGACATAACTCCTGGAGAACCAAAAACACTAGAGTTAGCCTGGATGTGGAAAATGCAAGTAAAATGCAGCGGCTTAGTGGAATTAGGAGATACAGGATAGAGTGGCAGAGCTTAAGGGAGTCCTTGAGCGATGAGGGTCCCAGGACCTCCCCAAACACAAGAGGACAATGAATTGATGTGAATGTGCAAATTAATATTTAAAAACAGCAAAAAACAAACATCAAAACCTTGTGACCTACATAACTGTGGAAGAATTAATAGAACAGTTTTATGATTTAAATCTCCTTTGACATCATTTCCTTCCTAAATTAGGTCATTTATTTTTTTTTATAACTCCGTCCATCTCCGAGTGCAACAAAGTTAACCAGTTTCACTTTCTGTTTCTCTGAGTTTCTCTTCATTCTGTCCCCAAATGCGAGGAGTCGTCCGCGGTATCTGTACGTCTTCCAGTAATGCTTAGCTCACATCTGTCTTCTCTCACAGTCATTTAATATTTAAATCTTGACGATCACAGTGACCTTTCTCCTTTTGAGCAGTGTGCTTATAGAGACTTTTTGTGTGTGTGAATTTCAGGGCATAGAAAAATCTGAGTCCTTATCGATATCTTCTTATTCGTGGTTTCCATAGAGGAGAAATGGAGAGACTGTTTTTGGATAAAATTCTCCCTTCAACCTCCGGAACATAAACTATCATCTTAGATTGTACAGGGAAAGACTGGTGACCAACTTTCATTCCTTGTGGGCATGAGAGGGTGAGAAGGAGCCGAGAAGGAAGCAAGTGTGGAACTTCAGGAGGAGTTAAGTGGTTAATAGGAACTAAGTTTTTTTTATTGGCTAATAAAACCTCTCAGGGTTTTTCATATTATATGGTTCCTTCAGGCTCCTAGCCCAGTGCTCAGAAAAAGAAAAAGATGAAAACAATAACAAAAAGTTGAAGCCTAAATACTAATGTAGTCCTGGACTTGTTTACTTTTTCATTTCCGCAGTTGTAAAAAAAAAAAAAATTCCTTTGGTAGTTCAGCTTTATCACGCTGCAGGAGTGGATCAGTGTCTGAGCACTCTAGTCGTCCCTGCCTCCCAGGGAAAGGAAGACGTGCGCTCTGTCTCTCTGCTGCAGAAAAAGGAGACCACGAGGCAAATGATGGATGCAGCAGGAAATTTTAAAATGAAAGCCAAGGGGGCAGGGGAAGGAGTAGATACTGAACCGAAATCCATCTCTGGATCCCGAATGCAAATGATCTCTGTCCTTTTATTGCCAGTGGTGCTGTTCTCCCCGCAGAGCAGGATGTTCTTGTTTTTAATAATAGCCAGGCCAGATGCTAAATTCTCCTCGGCAACATGCTGCCTAAGTGAGAAGGCAAACAGCTGATTCCTGTTAAGATGAACACTAGGAGAATAAGCCAGAA